AACGCTAGCATGCTAACGCTACCATGCTAACGCTACCACGCTACCACGCTAACGCCACCATGCTAACATGATGTTTCCTCCAGTAAGAGGTCTAACAGAGACCCTGGTAAACCAGAGGCAGGACTATGGGGACTATCTGCTGACTCTCTGAAAGGGCAAACAGAACATGACCAAGAGGAAACCAGGGGCCTGGTATGATGGATGCTGAGGGCAGTGCCCCCCGATGCATTATGGGAACACAGCTTGGACAGTATTAGGCAGTTGAGTCCTTATTTACATACTGATGCTACTTTGACTTGTGCTGAAAAAACCCTAACAGGAAAGGATGCTCCCTGATGGAAGAGGCTCGTTTCAGGCTTTTAACATATTAATTTGGCATCCAAATACTCCAAAATGAACTTTGTGGGTGTGTGGGACACAGCTCCACCTCACTGCTCTAAATCTGACGATTATTTTAAAACTTTTTGGCGAACAAATGCCATAAACTTTATTTCCTGTAGAGCAGTGTCATGTGACCGTGTAAGGATTAACAGGGGGAAGCAAAACAGCTTCAAAGTCACACTTGGTCATGTGACACCTCCACTAAGTTTCCCAGCAGAGGGAGATTTTCTGTGAGACAAACGGCTTAAACCTTTGGCTCAAACCAACACGGAAACTCTGGGGAATCTGAGGGAGGCGTGGCTCGTACCCAGCTTGACGTGGCCCTCCAGAGAGAGCAGGATGTTTCCGGCCTTCAGGTCTCGGTGGATGATTTTGCTGTCGTGGAGGTAGACCAGCGCCTGCAGCGTCTGCCGGCACACCGCCCGGATCTGGGGCTCCGTCAGGGGCCTCTCCAGCTCTGAGGGGACAGAGGAGGAACATAGCTTAGTCTTATGTTACTCACCCCTTAGGACAGTGTTTTTCAACCACTGTGCCTCGGTACACTAGTGTGCCGTTAGTGATGGTCAGGTGTACCGGAGAAAATCATCCTATTTCACCTCATTGGTCTAGAAAGATTATAATATATAATAATATTCCATTTTGAGTGTCTGTGCTGTTCTAGTGACTGGTGGAGTAATCATGTAATAATTCCTTATGACTAGATTTTGTATATAATTTTGTATATTGAAGTGGACATGTTAAGACCAATTTGAAAGAAAAAAATACAAAATATGATAAAAATAAATGTTTGTGTTTATTTGATTCCTATTCAAGACACTTAAGATAAGATAAGACTAAAATAAGAATAACTATAGTGTTACTATACCCTTACAAAGACCCCAAAATTTAACTGAATTTGGACAGGTTAGCGTCTTTGGTTTCAATTTCGTGAGTCTCCTCTGAGGCCTTTAAGGGGAGCAGGAGACCCCAAAATTTAACAGAAATATGATCATTAATAGATCAAATACAATAAATAAATAAATACAATAAGAAGAATATTTTGAGGTTATATTTTATGCACAATATTAAGCAAGCTTGACAAAAAAATAACTAAATTAACTTAAGTCTTCCTTCCTTGGCTATAAGCTTTACACACATAACAAACACTAGCCAAATTAGTTAAACAAAAATAAATGCTGTATTCTCAGCTCCGGTTACAAAAAAAGTCTGAAAGTGCACAGGTGGTGATGCTTTCAGGGACTAGGGTTGTCACGATACCAACATTTTAAACTGGATACCGATACTCAGGAATATATTCAATACTCGATACCACAAGGATAAAAACAAAGACCCCAAAATTTAACTGAATTTGTGTTTGGTTTCAAACTGACCTGTTACTGATGTTATGGTGGCACACGTTAATGTGGGCGTGTTATTATTAGCCATTAGCCACAGCTAGCAATTCAAGGCTAACGTCATGTGAAGGATCATAAACAACATAAATAAATAAATAAATCAGAGAGAAGGGGGGGGTATCGATACTTTTGAAGATGAGTATCCATCCTTTTGACCCCCCTAACCACACTCACCTCGCATGTTGTTATTAGCCATTAGCCACAGCTAGCAATTCATGGCTAACGTCACGTTAATTATAATAAACAACGTAA